TTTTAGGCAGAAAAAAAAATCAATATTTGAATATTTTTATCAAGGCGTGGAAACTATCCCAAATATCCCATTCATCCCATATATCCCAAAAATATTCAAAATAATCCCTGAGTATTAGAATTGAGATATCCCATCATATCCTGAAATTACACGTCCAATACACTAAGTATACGTTGGGATATCTTAATAACGTACATACATGCTCAGGAATTTTTTGAATATTTTTGGGATATATGGGATGAATGGGATATTTGGGATAGTTTCCACGCCTTGATTTTTATTTATTTTGACATTTTTTGGTTCTTGGTTGTGTGGTCAAAGTCGAGTGAAATTGAATCATTTGTATATAAATCTATCAGTTCTAAAGAAAAGCTTCTATGGTCAAGTGGATGAGTAAGAGTCCTGAAATTTGCAGTCCCCACCAGTGAAGACGTGTGTTCAGTTCCCACTACAGGCTAAATCGTTTCTCAATGCTTTGTCAATGTGACTTTATCTATATAATAATTAAGCCCGAGCGGCACAAGGTCGAGGGTGGTCTCCATATGGAATCCATATGAAAGCCACCTCCACTATGTGGGAAGTAAATGGAGGGTTATTTTTTCATCCTTCATATTGATTCCATTTGGATTCCATATGAACTCCGCTTTTTCTTAAATCAAATACCGAAAAACTCGTGCTTTTGAATTTTTAAAAGACAAAAGTCAGATATTGCTGTAATGGATTGAAATATTGTCGAAAAGCTTTACTGAATCATATTGCTTCATTTCAAGCTTTAAAAAAGCAAAAAAGGATAATTTTTTGTGATTTTGTATGAAATTACATACTTCACAAGCGCATGCAGAAATCACTATTATATGGGGTCGTTTAATTTGTATGAAAATTTTTAATAATTTCTTATGTTTCTCACGCGTGTGATCGAGACTTAGAAATTGCTGTGGTTGCGACTTAATTAATTTAAGTTGTAAATTTTTCAATAGTGTTAGTGTACTTTAATTAAGTCCACTAATACAGCTACAAATCTTGATATAAAAATTGCGAAACATAGAAAAACACGTGGAAAATCGTACCCAAAATCCTTAAAAAATACTTCCATTAAACCTCCGTTTGACTACCACAAATGGATCCTCCATCCTCCATCAAAACCTCTCAAATGACTTCCATTTGGTGTTAATAAATGCACGTCCCACGGAAGATTTTCGGAGCTTTGGCTCCGTCAAAGTTCCATGATAGTAAGGTTTTCGGAAGATTTTCAAATGGAGGGTGGAACATGGAGGCTCCGTATAGCTTCCATATGGAAGGCAAATGGAGCCTTTGTGCCGCTCGGGAAGACATCCTAATGCAAAGCTTTAGGGCACTAAGTTAGGACCCCCTTCAAGAAAATGATCCTAACTGTACTTCTGGTGCTCATACAAAATAACAAGAATCCCAAAAAAATGTAAAAACCATTTTTCATAACCAAACTGCGGCAATTTTTCCACACAAAAAAATCTTGCAATTTCACCATAAATTGCTTAAGAGTTACCCAAAAATAAATCCATCATTCCGAAAAGCGAGTAAATTTTGGCATATTCAAGAAGAATTTTCATTGAAAACTTCCTGTCATACATCACATTTTATGTTCCTACAACTGCAATAAAAATAAATTTAAGCATCATTTACAAGAAAAATAGCAGAAATATTACTAAGCTGTATAAAAAGAATAGAAATATGAGTCCATTATCGATTTTTATTATAACTCGACACAATTCTTTTTTCATGTGTTATAAAAATACTTTTATGTCTGTTCAGTTCCTCAACAATTCCATCACCTTTTCAAGACCATAAATTCTCACAATAAATGTTTGCTTTTGTTAAAACAAAAAGAAAAGTCGGTGACAAAATTATTATCTTCTTATGTACGTACTACGGAGTGATTAAATGACTTCCCAACAGAATCATCATGCTGTGATATTTGATTCTTTCGTATGGAGCTAGAATGTCAATAGCAATTAAAGAAAGCTTATTGTTTGGCATTTTAACGTGATTTATACTGTGCTGTAGCAATGAATAAAGCTGGCGCTCGACTTCTCGCATTATTCGATATTGTTTCTTGTTTATTTTTATCACTGACATAATAACAATGAGGGGGATGTGCTGATAAGATGGAAGAGCATTTGGGTGTCGTTTGCTTGAGCAGTAAGAAGACCATTAGCGTGTCATCAAGGTCCCCTCAAAGCAATTTACATATCTCTGATGTTTTGCCATTTGCCAGGCATAAAGGAACAGCCCCTTCCTGATAAGAGCTGAGACAAGACTCAGGCAACTAAGTTTTAGAAATTTAGATGGATTTTGTTTTGCTTGTAATGGATAAGTTATGGTAGCTAGTATAGGGAGTCAGAAAGGGGTCTAAAATGTCCATTCTTACCCATCGATGCTATCAAAGTGTCAATCTAAATCTATTAAATATCAATCATTAACAATTAAACGTTCAGCAATGCAAATCAAGCAGCATTCCCCCTAATAGCCCCAAAAATTCTCCTCGTGGCATCTCCGTATCATGTTGACATCCATTTAGGCGTAAGAATGTGACTAAGAAGAAAATAAGCAACATAAACAGTAGCATATCTGGTTAAGACATGAAAAATGTGCTGCAGAAAAAACAAAAAAAAAATAAGAAGCTACTGTTGCCGTTCACATAAACAGTAGCACTCAATTTCCACTAAAAAGCGATCAGCACAAAAAAAATTACGTTTTTTTTTTTGTTTTCTTAAAAAAAATGTTTATTTAATCGCATTTAACACACGATTGAGATGAGATGAATAACAAAAGAATGAGAAAATGAATAAAAAAAAGGAAGTGAGAATATATTTAAAAAAAACTAAATTTGCTGCTACAACATTTGTTTTCCGATGTTGCAAAAATGAAAAATGGTTTCTTGTGTTGTAAACAAGTCGCTTATTTTCTCTTCGGAATCGACATATGTTACATTGCATTTATTATATTTTCTCATATATACAGCATCTTGACGGGATCAGCCTCATTTCTCTGCAGTAATTTGTATTGCAGGAAAATTTATTAGAAGTCATTAATTGAATTAATTATGAGCAATTATGACTAGATTGTTGCAAATTGTAGACGGTTTTTTATTTGCCGCTATATGGAAATATATAAACAAAATTATCGAGGCTCATTAACGATTCGATGAATTTTATGGTCTTGAATTAATAACAACTGTGGAAGGAATTAATAATTGCAGTGGATTAATTTGATTTTTTTTAAATAATTTTAACAGGTTTCGGGTTCTGGGAATAAATTTTTTGAAAGAAAGTTTCATGACTTTGTTGACTTAGAAGCTGCCATACTGCGACTAAGTGTCATAGATCTCATAAAAGTCACTAAACAGTGACATTGTTCATCCTTTCATAAATGAAGGCTTTCTTTTAATTAAATGAATCAAAATGGGACTTCCTCTTCAGTTAAATCAGTTAAGTTGGACCTTTCAAGTTTTACCAATCTAGATTGACACTTATTTAGACACATGAAGCTTCTAATCCGCTCCAAAAATTCAAAATTTCACGATACAACCTTCAACTACTTCCACACGCTCAATTTTCTTAACAGCTTCCATTTCCTCATATGAACCTCAAAACCAGTAGCAATCAACAAAAATTATGACGAAATATAACTCATTCCAATTACTTCATAACTCAGGAAAAATTACTTTAAATTAATCTACCGCAAAATAATACAAAAAATGCGCTTCAATCATCCGTGAAAAAAAGGAGAAACAATTCCCAAGCATTTTTATTTTTTGTTTACTTTGTCTTCATCTTTCTGCTTATTCTTATTCTTTCTTCCTTTCTTCTCACTCATTCATTATTATTCCTTCTTTTTTTTTCGTGTTCTTTGGCAAGAACTCACACTCTCAGAGCTCAATAATGTGTGAATAATTCATGGTTTTTTATCAGCACCAATTAATCATTTTAATGCATGCTTACATACATTCATTTCATAGTACATCGAGAGTTACGAGTACTTAAGGCTATGTTGAGATGAAGAAGAAGAAAGAATAGAGTTGAGGAAAAATATAATGAGTAATTAAAGTGATGTGGATGTGCGTAAAGAGCGCAATAAGGTGTGCTTTGGAATTCAGATCCATTCCAGGTTGCTAAAATGTCATTAAAATTCAGCAAAAATTATGCGAAAAATTCCAAAGTTAATAAATCTTTAAAATTTCAATGATTAAATGTTATGGAAATACTAATAAATTCTAATAGGCGCCCACAAGCAGCAGGAGGTCTCACTTAATTTTTCAAAAAAAAACTTTAGGTCCTGCATCATTAGCAACTAATGAATAACTGAATAATTTATCATCTAACCAGTATGGAGTCGTTCATTAATGATGTTTTTGACATTTTTAAATCCCTTCTTTCTTGCCACATAAGTTTGTCTTGTTTGGAGTGTCTCAAAATTGAAGACACTCTTTAGATGACATCATATCCGAACGATCCCCCTAAGACATAGTGAGCCTCATAGTTTAACATACATGTTGACCAAACCTCGCTTCAACAACACAAGAAAAAAGCGATAAAAATAAAAAAAGGAGGAGGAGACGAATAAGAAAAAGAGAAGCATGAAAGTAAACTAATGATCCGCATTATGTCTGCAAATTAATTATAGCTTCTTGCTTAAACGATATTAAATGAAATCTCTTTACAGTAAATAAAAAAAAAATCAATATAAATTCACACATACAAAACTGAAGAAAAATGAATGAATGAATTGCAACATATGTTAAGACAAGACAGATTACACCTTGTTTCATCAACATACTTATTTGTACTTCTTCTCACAATAAATATATATATATATTTTTTTTCATTGCTGTCCTGTAAGCAAGAATGTATAAAGACACACTTGATGATAATTTATTCATTAATTCGCTGATATACTTGAGAATATTTTATATTGAGACACATCTTTAGATTCGTTAAGCATTCATTGCCTTTCTTTTTGTTTAGTGCATCTTTATGGGACATGTTTGGTGGTCAGTTTGGATTGGGATTTGACTCTTTAGGTAGTTTAAGTGGTAAAGCGTTGGCTCTACTAGCTAAATATCCTGAGATGGGGATTGCCATGGAAGGCACGGGTTTAGCATCTCTGAAAGACTGTAAGCTAGATAAGTATGGTCAAATTGCATTATTAGCATTTATAAATAGTCAACAGCTGTCAATATTCGCTCCATTGTATGATCTAATAATCAAATTGAACTAAAATTCCTCAGGCACAACTTAATAAATGCCAAATACCCCGCAGACCATAAATGCGCCGTGCTAATTTTCATTTCAGCAGCTTACCACTTGCCTCCTTTATTTACACGTTCAAGGCGATAAAGAATGAAAAGGCCGAAAAAAGGCTGAACAAAGAAGATTTTATGCTTGTTCAGCAACAAATTTCATTTTTTTTCTGAATGTACCCGCAACAATGCATTGATTACATTTTCATTCTCGGGAGATATTTATCACCAAAAATATATATACACTCTTTCAGATTCTCGACAGATAAAAAGGGACTAATTTTTGCTTGACTACTCCATAAATTTTCTTCTTATTCTTTTACTGCAATGGATGTTCAAAAGAAATTATATTTTTTTTTTCGGTTGTTTTTGTTGGGGAGCACATACCGAGAAAATGAAAATAAAAAGAAATAAAGTCACTATCCGTATGGAATAATAAATACAGAATTATTTCTCTTATTCTTTTCCCATATACTGCAACGTGATAAAGTCAACGATTGCGCAATGTCTATAAAAAAAATGTGTAAAAAAATCTATGAATATTCTTATGGGAATAGCGCAAGGTATGGTAATTATTCTAGATACATTAGACAGTCAGACACTGCATGGGGGCATTCGTTGAGGCTATTTAAGATACCACATAGGGTTGAAAAAAAAATATTGAGATTTAAAAGGTTGGGAGAATATAAATTGGAAGTTACTATACAATGTTGTAATGGAAGTTCATAAAAAGGTCTTATTATCATAAAATAAATATTGAAATCCTTTAACTTATTACATTTTGCTTAAATTTTGATAAATTGAGTGATATGCAGAGGTTATGGAATGGATTATTTTTTGTTGGGTGTTAAATTGTAAGTTGATTGTAAGTTGTTTGTAGATTTTTAACGTAATTAAATGGATGAAAAGTTAATAATATTATCAAGGGCTTGTTCAAAAATGATGTCTAATGTGCAGGGAGACAGTCATTAGGAAACACGTGAGTGTTTGACTTAAGACAAAGCCTGGACGAATAGCATTGTCAAAAAACCACAAAGAAGCAGTTATAAGCGAAGAAAAAGAGACCAACTAAGCCAAGGAGTGCAAGTTTTGGATTACAGAGCTCCAATAATCTTTCCTACATCACTGGAGATGTGAATTTGAATCGCAGTGCCTCCAGCTTAAATGGCTGAGCCCTTCCCATGATTAAACTTTTATTGAAGATGTGTCCTTAACTGTCATAAATGTATTGATGCGGAGATGAGATGTTGAGAGCAGTTGGAATTGTCTATTTTAATAGAAGTTATTTTTAAAGAATGGGGGGGGGGGGGTCTTCTAACTCTCAAAACATTTAAAAAATTCCCGAAAAATCAAACTCAACCTCAACATGTCTAAACCTTCTTTATCAAACACCACACAACTCAATAATTTAATTTAAGGTGTGCGTATAAATCAAGTCGACAAAACCCCTGAGTTTTATTTCTTATTTTTTCTATGCACGAATTTTTACATACAAATTGACTTCCTGGGTGTTAAAAGTTAAGCTTTTAAATATTCATCTCATACAAATTTTCCTTTCCTTGCCTCCCCGATAACACATCCTTTGTTTTTCCTTAAAGAATAATTTTTTTTTATTCCTGCCTTACTTTATTATTCTTTATTACCACGGTGGGGTTTTTCCTTATTGGTCTTTAAATTTATTTCCTTCTGTAATTATGAAACTTTTTTTCAAAAAACAAATTTCTTAGAACTCCTCGTGATAAATCACATTAAAATTGCTTTTTGTTTTCTCTTTGCGATTCATTTTTTTGTGGAAATTATAATTCATTGCCCTCCCTTTCATGTTATTTTCTTCATTATATCCCCTCTCATTGCTTTGTTTGTGTCCTCCTCATTTAATTAGTGAAATAAAAAATAAAGCAGTAAATTGTCCCAAATTCTGCGTATTTATAGTCGTCATAAAAAAAATTTCACTTCAAACTGGACGTAGACTAATTGCTAATTGACGTCCCTTAAGAACTGCTTTTTTAATAACTTTTGTTTTTGAGGCGAGGGCTCTGGTTGACTAATTCATGGATTTCATGACTAAACAATGTTCATTCAGTCTCTAAGTAGACTTAATTACAATTTCTTTTGTGTATGCGGTGTGTAAAGTAATTTTAACTTTTTTTTCTGGTCGATGACACGCTTGAGTAGAATTAAAGTCTGTAGCATGTATAACATGAGACGTCCTCATAAATATTTTTTAAATGAGAAACGAAAGAAAAATGAGTGAAAATGTTTGAAAGTTTGGTGTAGGAGGATGTTTAAAGTGCATTTTTCCGTACATTAGATATAGCTTTGTCGTAATGAAATCCTACGTCTGTGCTGGAAAGGCTTATTTATTTTAAATGACAAAGTTCGAGTTAAATGTCAGAATTTTTATGAAGCAAATTAAATGTAAATTTGAACTTTAGAAGCTATGGGTGGTGAAAGGGTTTTTTGGAGCTTGATGACATTCAATTGTGTATGAAGAAGAACGACTTGAGTCACTGACTGTGGCAATTATGTTTACATTAACTTAGAATACATTCAAAAGAGTCAGAAATATCATTTAAGGGGTGCACGATTTTTAAATTTGACTCATGAAAACTGCGGCTCTGTATAGCTTAGGCCAGGGGCGTAGCCAGAAAATTTTTAAGGGGGGGGCCCATTTTTGAAAATTAAAAAACCGTTATTTTGTATCCTTAAATCTATATTCATTCTTCATAAGTTTAAATATTTAATTCATTATTCATAAATTAAATTTAATTTTTCGTGCTGATTTTGACATTTCGTTCATCACTTCCTCTACATTAACTGGTTCTTATGTATAAATACTTAATAAAACAATTATCAGATTTTCGTAGGGGGGGTCTGGGCCCCCTATGGCCCCCCCCCCTGGCTACGCCCCTGGCTTAGGCTATACCTCTACGATATTACCAGGCGATATCCTAGGCTGCTTCTTAATGTTCTTAATGTTAGGAATTCTCTTATTCTTAGGCTGCAACCAATTTCTACAGACCTTTCTCTAGTCACAGTTGAATTTTATTTACACTCCAACATGAAATATATAAATTGCTGGTTCTATTGCAAGTAGGGTTTTCAATCCCGGGATCCCGGATCCCGGGATCCCGGGATCCCGCGTTTTTTTTGGTCCCGCAATCCCGGGATTGAAACCAGCTTCAATCCCGGGATTACGGGATTGAGTTAGTAGTTAAAACTTATTTTCTTATTTTCGATATTGAACTTTTTTAGTACCTTATTTTCGAGCATAAATTCAAATTTTTTTTACACGTTAAATTATTAATATTGGTTATTTATATCAATATTGGTTTTTCATCATCAAATTGCTAAATGAATCTACTCAAATGTAATGAATCATTACTGATTTACTAAACAAATAATACAAGTGAATTAATGACATTTTTATTTTCAAAGTAAACAACAACAAAAAATTTAGAATATTTTTGAAAAAAGCATTTTAAACTAATGTTTGCTGTTTTTATCACCGATTTAACGATTAAATGAGCGTTAAAAAACATAAAAGCATGATTTAATTCTTAAATAATAAGAAAATGAAGTCGGAAATTGCGAAAAATTGAAATTTTCATAAAAAATGTTTTTCGAAATGGCGAAATTTTGTTCGAAAAACATTCGAAATGAGTTTGAATTTATTTCGAATCAACGTTGACATCGTCTCTTGGCATGTCATAGGTTCGCAAGAAATACAAATAATTCAAAATCATTGAAATTTTGATTTATTGCTTTTAAAAACTACAAAACACTACTGACGTGCACAACACTCATTGAAATTTTGTTAATATGCCTCATCATAAAAAAAAAATGTAAGTAAGTGACGATTTGTTTTTCTTAATTTTATTTTTGTAGTAAACTTCGCACTCGACTACTTGATGATTCTTTGGATTACCTTTGCTTTCTTAAAGCCTACTTTCCAAAATGAAAACCTTATTTTAAGATTATAAGTATCTAATTTTCTTTTTTTGCTTAATCATTAACAATAAACATACATAGAACAAATATAAATTAAAAAATTTTCTCTCAAACGAAGATTTTATGTTTTATTTATTGGAAATTTTAAGGCTTCTTTAATAATCTCTTAATCCCGGGATTCCCCGGGATCCCGGGATCAAGAATTTTCAATCCCGTAATCCCGGGATTGAAAATTTGGACCGGGATTGAAAACCCTAATTGCAAGATTGGGTAGGTTGTGCCTAGTACATACTCAAAAAAATGCTCTCTAGTTTCAAATACCCTTGACTCATCACCAATTCATTCATCAACCGACATTCCATCAACAAAATTGCACAATATTAAAAAATATTAAGCAAAAATAAAAATTCACCAAGCAAAAAAATGCAAAACTCATTTAATTCCAACCCCAAAAAAATTCTCGCTAGAAAATTGCTCCAATTATGTAGTCAACTAAACGACCAAACTGAATGCAAATCAACCACATCCATTATGTAGAAATTGTTGCAAAAAAAAACTGAAAGGCGAATAAGGTTCTAAAATTTTATTTTTAATTTTCGTCGCTCCTTCTCTCCTTCAATTAATATTGACTGACTCGCCTCATGCATTCACATACACGAGAAAAGAGTATAAGTTTATAAATATTTTTAGCAGGTTCAATTTCAGTTATAAATTTAAGAACACTCAACAGTGTGATAATGAGAAATGTGAGTGGGTATCCGAAAAAAAAATACCATTAATAACGTCTCGTTCACACTTCGAACCGTATGTCAATTAAGCAAAAAAAAGTAACATCGTGGTTGGTTTGCTTCTTTTCTCTCGACTCGCTCTCGTGTTCGTTCCTTTTTTTGTGAAGCAGCAGAAAGATGTTAAGTGAAATGGAATGTAATGTGTATGACGATGTTGTCGTCTAAAGAGCACTTTGAGGAACGACGGAAAAAATAAACTTCACGCCCTAGCATGGCTGATATAATGAAATGAAACGAAG